AAAAAAAAATCCAACTTTCAATCTTCCTTTTAGAAGAAGTAGCTTTTTTCTTTCCTTCTTGGTCAAGTATAAAAATTATGGTAATGCGAAATATTGCTGAGAATAATTGCCTTCCTCCCTTTTTTGCATGGCACCCGAAGCTTGGTCCCCTCTTAAATCAGATGCTATCAGGCAGAGGGCTCTTGACAGCCCTACAGAATCCTTTCGTTACAAGGCGGCTTTAGCCAATTCTTTATTTGTAAATGAAAATTTGCAACAAGAAAATATATGCTTGGGCTTCCATTATTGTAGAGTCCTAGATTGCAGCCCCCGAAAGGAATAATTGAATTTTGACACTCCTCTCTCTTCCTTTCTCTCTGCCTCTGTCTCCCTTTTTGGAAAGAGGGAGCTAAGGAAAAAATTGTGGAGCATTGATTTTGGGGGAATCTCTACCCTAGTAGATTTGGACAGTGCTAGTTCATTTTGTGGTGCACCGAGAGCATTTTTGGATCCCCCCAGGTTTATAGATAGTCTTAACTCTGTGATGGGAGAAGGCGTAGTCCGTCACAACAAGCTGTTGTGTAGCTTTCTTGCAATTGCTCTGCACTGGCAGAGGCCTGAATGGTGCAAGTGCCACCGTCTTCCCTTTGTAATGGTTTTATGACCTAACGACGTGGTTTGTGGTGCTCTTAACAGTTGGAGTCTGTGTTGGGAGCTTCGCTGTCCAGATACTTGATGCTGCTCCAAGGTGAAGGCTGTATCCATTATAACGGGGATGAGGAGGCATGGCACCTGCAAAGCCTACTGGTGGTCTGGGTTGGAGTTGGGATTCCTTACCTGCGCATTACTGGGGATTGTTAGCTAAAATCCAGTTTTCTGGAGGACATGGTCAACTTAAATCATTCCCCTAAAAGTGCTTTTATGTTCAGGATGTTAGTAAACTTTTTAACATTTGCACCAGTAGGTCAGAAGAGTGCTCCAAATCTCTGTAACATCCTGCTTTCCTTGTCGGCATGGGCCAGAGCCCGGGGTTCATGCCTTGACTGCGCATGCCAAGAGCTAGCAATCCTTTTGTTTTTTAACAGGCAGGAATCATCTGGTCCTTGTTAATGGGCACGTAGAAGCCAGCAGACCCTCAATTTTTTGTTCCTAGCCATCTTTGGGAGAAGCGCGTGTTTATGCTGGAGGAATTGCAATGAAGGCTTTTCCTGCAAACAGCGGATTGAATGGAAGCCAGCGTCTGTCCTGCGACAGGCATCCCGATTACCTGAAGCAGAACCGACAGCACTTTTCTTTGACTGGCTAGAGGACTTTAAAGAGTTTGCAGTGCCAGCCTGCTTTGGGATCCTGCTACGAGCCAAGAGCTGGTGCCTGGTGCTTCAAATGAAAGCAAAGTCCCTACGTACTCTTGATGGATGTGAGGATGCAGCAATGCCTTTATGACTCCCGGGGAGCCGACATCTGGGAGAATGGGATTCGGTTACGTTTGCTACAGGCCACATGTAGCAGAGACGTGACCCAGCTTGAGACACTGGTACCAGGCTTCAAAATAAAGCCAGGCAAAGCATGGGATCTTTGAATCGGTGACAGTTTTGTTCATCTCAAATTAAAGGAAGCTCCACCTGTGTGAATAATAACTTTGCTGGCCCGTGTCGTGGGGTTTGTGTAAGCTGGAGAATTGGGGGAAGCCTGTTGTAGGCAAGGCACTGAATAGCATCATTCTAGACATTGCTGTTGTCATGAAGTGTATCCAGCCCTTTCGGTTAAAAATAATAATAAAAAAAAATTGCAGCCCCTGCAGTTGAATTGAAGAGTTTGTAACAAATGAGTTCCCCAGGCTATCCGTGATGTTATTTCCTTTTCCCTTTTTATCGGTTCTAAATTTATCGGTCATTAATTTAACAGAGCGGTTCCTTGTTCTCAGGTTATGGGGCAAGGTAGAGAGAGCAACTGATATATTATTCATTACATCCTTTCTAAATGTGAATGCCCCGACCAAGTTCCGCTGGAAAACACACAAACAGGTTTCATTTGCACGTGGCATTTCGATGTCCCCCGTTCAGTCGTGCTTTCGGTTAACGAACATTTCTAAAATGTAGGTCTGCACTTATATCACGCGCCGGTTCTTCTCTCCAGCTTCAAGCGGACTGTTGGGTTTTTTTTGCTTATTTGATTGAATCCTTCCTCCAAAATATTTAAGCCTTGCATTAATGGAGCGACTCCCTTTATTAAAAAGGGCATGTCTCCGGGAGCGAGTGGTGTCCTTGCTTTCGCACCTTATCGGTCAAGTTTAAGTTTTGATCTTGATCTGAAGGTAAGGTCTTGATAACCTGTGCAACTCCAGGTGGGTCGTGGCTGGTCCAGGAGAGGGGCTACTTCTTTCCATACTCTGTATTGTCACAGGGGTCCTGGGTATGACCGCAAACAGCATCCGACTGGAGGGCCAGGTGGCAATGTGGTGAGGCTACCGCAGTGTTGCAACCTCCGGAGCAAGGGGAGTATAGGGTGCTTGAAAACCCTAGCTTTCACTGCTTCGTGGGGATTTCTTGGCTGGAGAAAGGTTAAGGGACATTATCCTGACAGAAGCACGCCCTGGCTGAGGCATTAAGCAGCTTTTATTTGATACTGTCCTACAACCATCAAGGCACTGGACTTGATTTGGTCTTTGGATCCTGTCTCAGTGGTCTAAAGTGGGGATGGCAGGTCTTGGGCATCCTCTACTCCTCCATACCCTTGCCTAGGCGTACGCGTCCAAGGTCTCGGTTGCAGGACTCTGCAAGCGGGTTCATTGCTGGACCTCTTAATGTGTACCCCACGATCCAGAGGATTGATGGTTGCCTACTGTTGTCATGGCTAGCAAAGGATATTCTAGCTGGATCCTCTGTATTTTGAAAGATGATGTTGTGGGGCAGTCTCTCGGAGGACTTTGAGAGCAATTCCCCTCGGGAGAAACGGTTCATATACGGTGACCTTCAGGCCTGCTGCAGGAGCCGCCTGTCCGAAGGGTTTCTGGGCAGCGCGGCAGGCATAAGGTATAGGATGAAAGGAGTTTCTGTACGTGACCGACTACACCGCTGAATCACTTGTAATGCTGCTGAGTTTATGCTTGTGTTGTCAGAGTGAGAGGTGCCTTATTTTGATTTTACACATGGCAAAGAGATATGTGGCTTCCTTTTAAGATAATCGATGGAATATCTACATCTGCCAATTTTTTTATTCCCCCCCCCACAAATGACTTTTTTGAAACTAGGTCACCGGAAATGTGATCTAGTACCGTAACTTATTTTCACTTATATTTGCACTGAGAAGCACAATGAAAAGAATTCATTAAAACGAATCCCCTGGGGGTGAGGACAGTGTTATTGAGTGCCTACACCCAGTCATGCTGCTCACAAAACCAAAAGGAGACACCTAATCACATAGACCCTGAACTGGTTTAGTGAAGAAGTATTCTCGTTTCATGGCCTAGGGATGACATCTAAAACATGGCATTTTTGTCACGTGTTGTTTGGAATAATCTGATTAAACTGGGCGCTTGTCTTGTAATTTCTTACAGATGGTCACAAGAACAAAGAAAATATTTGTAGGTGGATTATCAGCGAATACAGTAGTGGAAGATGTAAAGCAATACTTTGAACAGTTTGGCAAGGTAAGCTCCAGCACAGTTCAACACTACATATTTTCAGTCCTTTTTTTTTTAAAGTCTGTTTTGAAAGACTGCAGTAAAACTTTCACTCAAATGCAAAGGCAGATCTTGCCTTTACATTTATTCTCCAAAACCTGTTTACATCCTTCTGTTCGTCTTTGTATTTGTCATATGCATATGATCAAAAAACATTTGACTGAAGATGGCATTGCTCATCTTTTTTAAAAGTAAGGAAAAAACATTGGGCATATCTGAGGGATGAATTTGGCCCTAACGATTCTATAGATTTGCAGTTGCCATAAAATTGGCTTTTTGTTTGCCAATCATTTTAGTGGTCAGAGTAAGGATGAATGGGTCGGAGGAGCCAGGAAATGACAACGATGCCTAATAATGCTGTCGTAGAAATAATAGAGGTAATACCAGAATGTCTTTGGGTTTTTATTTTTACAAAAGTTTCTTGAGTCAGACTGCTAGATATTATGCATGGAAACAGATGTTACACAACATGCTAGGAGTGGACTTGGGGCCGGTGGAAAAGACTTGACACTCCCGGCAAGTTATAGGGGATGTTTGCCAGAAAGAAATAAATGCAAGTCCAACCGTACAGCTGGATTTTTGCAAATAGGGCCTTGTGCCAGCAAGGAGCCCCGCTGGCTTCCATAGGGCTTTGTATGAGTTGGGCCTCTGTGTCCAGGAGGAGCTGGTTTCAGGGTCGGGACCATGTGTGCGAAACCAGATGAAGTGGTTCAGGTCCCTGAGACTTTTCAAACCAATTGTTAGACATTTAAAGCGGTGATGGGCTTGGGAAATGCCAGCCTCTCTGCAGGCAGCCTGGCTGAGCCCTGTAATGTTGTCTCTGGCTCTAAAAAGAACCCGGTCAACATAAAATCACACATCTGTCTGAAACCGGTTTTACCTCCAGCTGTTACAATTCTACCTAGGATTGCTAAAGCTGAAAAAGGGAAGGAGGATATATATTTTTCCCATTTTTTTTTTTTTTTGCTCTGCTTTGTACACAGTTGATTTTACTTCTGGCAAAATGCAGTCTGCCCGTTTCCCCTTTTTTGTTTTTTCTTTGTTCGCTTGGGTCATTGTTGCAGCAGCGGTTGGAGACAGGAAAAATTTAAATACGATGGGTAATGCCCCAAACCGTTCAGATCTGTGCCCTGCAAAAAGATTCATGACAATTCCCCAAGTGCCGTGCAGAAGGCTCCTCAATCACAAGTGCAGCGGGACAGCACTACTCAATGACAGGTTTATTCAGTGTGCTTGAGGACTGGGTTAATCCAATTTTAATTTGCATTTTGCTGAACCTCCCATTGAAACGGAACTGAATCGGTTTTGACTGAAAACCCAAAGGCATGGTTAAGTCGTGCAAATTTTAGGGTCCTCTGACTTCCAAAGAGCCCCAGCAAAATGTGAATGCCCTGGCTCAAAAGGAATGATGACCTTCTCTCCACTGAATGAGCCTGCATAATATTTCATCCTCAGCAAGAGACATTTAGCAGAGGACCCAGAAGTGTGGCATGACACTTATTTGCAAGACTTTAGGTGACATCCTGTTGGACCCTTTCTCAGCCACATGAAACCAGAAACACTGCAGGCAAAATAAGCAAAGCATAGCATGCTTCGTGCCGTGCCCCTTTCTTTCCCCCATCCTTAAACAGAAGACTGAGTGTAAAGCCCACCCCATGTGTTTCTTCCTATCTATAAATCCAAGATTGTGCAAGACCTTTCTACTGCGCTTCTTCACATGCCACAGTGCAGCAGCTGCTGGTAACAGGGGCTCGGGCAATTGATTCAACAGGGAGGGCAAGTGGTTTTGCTTGTGTATCCTCAACTCTCTTGGGAAAGGCTCCATCATATGCTTGCAAACACCCCTGTTTTGGTGGTGTTCAGGACAGGCTGCCTGGTGCATGGCTCTGGGCAGCTGCAAGGGTGGGATTAGATCCAGAGAGGGAAGGGAGTTTTTTGTTACAATGGGGAGTGTACATTCAGGTCAGGATAAATACTCTGCTACTTAATTTTCATTGCTATAACTTGTGGTGGGAGTGGTTAGAGCTTCAGATCATTTCCCCTTCTTCTTTTTTTTTGTATCAATTGCTGCTGCTAGTCAATAAGCTAAATGGTCCTTGAAGACCCCAGGATGCAGTAACCACCAGCACTCACAGGTGACACTTGTGCTGCTGCTGCTCTTCACTTTTAAGCTAATCGGCTCAGCTAGTTTTGCTCTATGATATTTCAGCGGTGGTCAAGGCCACGCTATAAATGCAGCCATGGTTTTATATTGGCCTGAAAGGGTGAGTTGATCTGTAGGAGGAGAAGAAACAGTTGACTTCTACTGACACGCACACAATACCTTGGTCCTCCAGCTATTGACAGGCCCTACACCCTGGATGTGCCATGTGGCTGAGTTTCACGGTTTTATTGTTCTTTAATTGGCCTTGCAAGAGAACGTGGCAGGATCCTCCCGAGCAGAGCCGCTCCGAAGCAGAGGCCCTGGTTTTTATTTGTTTTTTTTTTTACTTAACTAGCCTCCACGAGCCTTGGCTTCGTATTGTTTTTTTGAGGGTCGAGGAGAAGAGCTGATAACTCGTTCCTCTGTGGGATTGATGGTTGTTTTGCAAACCATTCATTTTATTTTCAGTAATAATCTTCGATTCCGGCAGGATGTTTACAGCCTGCCGAGCCTTTTATTAAAGGATTACATGAGCTTTTGGATGTTTCTTCTGTAGTTATTTCAAAACGGCACAACTCCTCTAACCTGTATTTTTGAAGTTAATAATAGTTTCAATCTATGTGCTTTGCATATTGTCTGGATGCACCCTTAATATAGTCTTTTAACTCTGCCATCTGGTAGTTTCGTGCTTGCAGGTTCTGCGTCTCGGAGAATACAGACAGCTAGGCTGAGGTTTTTCAAAGCTGACCGGTGATTCTGAGTGCTTTAATATATGCCTGCCCCAATGCTGGCACCTTAGGAGGAGCCTGATTTATTTTTATTTATATTTTTAATTTTTTTTTGGAAGGCAGCACTTCCTGGAAATTGGGTGCTTTTAAAGAGCCACCCAAATTATGAGTCACCTTTAGAAAACCCTGGCTTTAGCCGTCAGCGGTAATAAAAAGTCTGGTTCTTAGATCAGACAGAGCAGTGCAGCACTGCGAGGATACCAAGGCATGCTCCCAGGGCCGGAGCACCCAACTAGATCTTGGGAGACCCGAGTTCTAGACCTGGCTTTGCCGTTAACCTGCTGGGTGTCCTAGGCCGAGACCCTTCGCCACCATGCACCTTTGTTTCTGTGCCTGTAGAAAGGGGACAATGCTGACCTCTCCATGGAGCACTTTGGCTAGGGACAGAAATTACACGTAAACCAGTATCAGTGATTGGCAGCTGGTTGTAATCTGTAGCACAACAGAAGTTCAGCGAACATAAACCGCTTTCAAAATGGCTGAAACCAGTTTACGATAAACCTGGATGGATGTAGTAGCTGGCTTAAACTGATTTAGGTTAAATCAGTTTATTCAACTCCTGTCCCAGATCCCCTCCAGATTCAAGTGAACGTATAGTGCCCCAGAATCCCAGGATGCTTTGCATCTCCCCTGCAATCCCCCCCATCCCAGAAGGGAGGGTGAGCTAGCCTTGGCCCAAGCTGTCTGCTCCAGCTGAGCAGGGAGGTGTCCTCTAGCGCTCGCCAGCTTCTGGCCTGGGCCCTGCAGGCATGCAGCTGCATTTCCAGAATCAAAAGTGAATGTCTGTTCACCTGCTTATTGGTTCAAGCTACGCAGCTTAGACTAACCTGCAAAGATTGAATGGATTCGGCCTCGGGCTTTTTGACTGTCTGTGCTTAGACTTTGACACTGAGTATGGAGGGGTGCAGTGTCAGAGCCAGGCATATTTATTACGGTTATTTTACTAACCGGTATTATTTTTGTGAACTGTTTTCTCTGTGTCTCACATCCCTGTAGTATGTGCATGCGCCCCCATCATTGACCTTCACTGGCAATAGGAATGTCCTGTCTCCATTTTACAGAGGTGGATCTTGGGAAGAGAGAGGGTCAGTGATTTGTGCAAGGTCCCAGACGACTTGCGCAGGAGAGCCAGGGAAGTAACTGTGCAGGCAGGCTGTGTGGGGAGGACTCCTGCGTGCTCTTTGTGGCTTTGCCCCTGCGACTTGGTGGTGTTTTCTAAGGGCTTGACCATGAGAGAGCTCAAACACCAGTAATGCCAGTAGGTATCAACGGGGTTTCTGAGTTTACAGATACCTGATTATAAGACTTGACCCCAGGAGTTTTTCCCCCTTTGCTAGTCGATGGCTAACAACGCTGAGCAAGTAACCCTTATACTTTAATCAGTCTTAAGAAAGACATCTGAGTCTTGGGGGCAGCTTGTTGCCTGTACGCCAGGGGTTGGGGACCACGACGCTATCGTAATACAGGTAATATGCCTCGCCGGATCAGCAGTGTGGTTCCAGGTTTTGAATGGCTGATTGCATTCTTCCCTTCTTATACACTCACAAAAGACAAAGAAAAAAAAAAAGTATTATATAAGGCACATTTAGAGGAGCCTCCCATGTTTGATAAGAATGACTCCAGCTGCTCTGGCTTTGAAATGTTTGATTTACCCGCTGGGGTGGAAAAAATACTTAGCTAGTGATGTGGCTCTTGAAATCCTGTTTTTACTTGCTGCGCAGCCGTGCTTCATAGGAAGGGGTGGCTGCTTTTGTAACCTCAGGTAGCTCTCCCAATACACCTGGGGCATAGGCCAGCAACCTGATCCCATGTCATTCTGTACTTGAAACACGGCCGGCAAGAAAGGGCCTGAGTGTTTAATTGAAACCAGTTTATTTTCTACATTAAAATGCCAGAAACTTTAAAAAAAAAAAAGCAAAACGCAGCCGAGGCTGTAAGAGGCTGAGAGAGTCCCCGGCATGGCTGAGCGAGGATCTGCTTGACACGGAGATAAAGGCAAACCACATAAAGGCTCTTTCCAGGGACACAAGCCCTGA